CAAAATGCATCACCATTTTGCTTTACCATTTTCTTTAGTTAGCAAATACATTTGTTTGTGATGTAACAAATAATTCTGGTGAGTTTCAATAAGCCATGTATATCTCTTCATACAGTTTCAGAAAAATCAGGTTGACATATTTTACACAGCTCACACGGTCTTTTATAACGTGCAGTACGTACAAAGCAGAACACATGATGACCACATAGTGCTTTTCTTTTAGGTCTGGTTCAATCAGTGCATAAGTTCTTAGCAGAAATATGTCTTAAGACTAGAGTTTAGACTTGAATGGTGCTGGTTTGCTGTGATTCAAAGGCTTTTATTTCACCCTTGCTCTTCATGAGGTACATGTATTGGGAATGGGATTTTCACCTTTGCAATACTATGTCTACAATTTATAAAACACACAAGACTGTCGCCTCCTGGTTGACAGTCCGTCTGCCTTCTTATGCTGACTTTATTATTTCAAAATATAGTGGTCTTAGCATCAGTATTGCTGTGACTTAAATGGATATGAAGTTCTGCAGAGAAACGGTTTAGTTAAAGAATTTCAGTAAAGGCTCATCACAATCCAGAAACGGCATTGGTAAAGGTTACAAATGGACTCTTCTTATGGCCTCTGACAGTGAAACATCTCTGTACGTGTCCTGCTAGACAACAATTTGTTCACACTGAGGCTAACTATGCAGCTTCACAGGGTTCTGTCCTAGGACCAGTTCTGTTTACAATATACATGCTTCCCTTAGGCAGTGTCAGTAAAGGGAATAGCATACATTTTCACTGCTATGTCTCAACTTCATCTATCCAGATAACACACAGCAATTACTTAAACAGCAGGAAAGTCTTAAAGACATAAGTACCCGGATAACCTATAAAACTGAGGTTATGGTACCTGAAAATCATCAAGACATATGGTAGGAAACCAGATGGCATTACCTTGGCCTTCAGCAACACTGTGAGGAGTCTTGGATTCATTTTTGACCAGGATATGTCCTTCAATACGCATATTAAACAAATATGTAAGACTGCTTTCTGCCATTTGCAGATTATCTCTAAAATTAGAGATCCTCCATCTCAGAGTGACGCTGAAAAACTAGTTAATTATGTATTATTTTTAGGCTGGACTACTGTAATTGATTATTATCAGGTTTTCATTAAAAAAAAAAAATCTTTCAGTCGATTGAAAATGCTGCAGCAAAAGTCCTGACAGGGTCTAGAAAGAGAGAGCATATTTCACTCATTCTGGCTTCTCTTCACTGGCTCCCTGTTAAATCCAAAATCAATTTAAAGTAATTTAAAATACTCCTTCTAACATACAAGGTCTTGAATAATCAAGCACCGTGTTATCTCATAGTCCTTTAGTCACCCCAATAGAGCACTTCGCTCTCATACTGCTGGTTTACTTGTGGTTCCTATTTAAAAGTAGAATGGGTGGCAGAGCCTTCAGCTTTCAGGCAGACCTGGACGGGGACAAAAAAATAGACCCTGTAGTTTTTGTTCCAGACAGCCCATCATGACTGCTCAAAAAACTAAAGCATTCAGATACTTGAATCTCTCCCTTTCTTATTATGTCCTTCCATCTATTTTCTTACCACGTTAATTTCAAGTCCTCT